CTCCTGCAAATCTCATCTAACTTCCCTGCCAGGCAACCGAGCTGCTCGACGCCATCCTGGAGGGATACCCCAAGAGCAAGAAGCAGTTCTTTGTAAGCCCCATCCCTCTGTCTGTGTACCAGCGCGGCTCAGCGTGCTGTGCCAGAGGGCAGCTGTCTGCTACAGGAGCACTTTGTCCTTGCACAGGAGGAGGTCGGAATAGAAACCGACGAGGACCACAACGTCACACTCCCAGCAGCTGTGTGAGGTGCAGATGGCTGGCTTTCCTTTACAGAGAGCACGCTGCAGTGGAACTGATGATTAAGCTGTTGTTGGGTTTTAGATTTGTTTTCTTCTGTAGTTTTTTTCAGGGCTTGCGCTTGTCCTACATCCTTGATATAGTTCTGTTTAAAAATGCTTTGCCCTTGGAAGGGTAGTTAGAGCAACTGACTCAGCAGTGGACCCGCTCCCTTTCTCATGTACCGAGGGAACGTTGTTTTCTTACCTTTCAGTGCTATAGGCTGTTTTGGGTGGGTGTTTTCACCAGGCAGTGGCTGGGAGGGTTTAAGAGCACTGGGTTAGAGATGTGGTGTTCTGGTAAGAGCAGGAAGCAGGTGCCTCAGAGAGGTGAAGCAAGTAGTTAGCAGTATGGCCACTATTTCTGCAATTCACACGTGGAGGGGACTGCTGCCCACGGCCTGCACCGAATCGTACGCAGGACCGATTCATTGAACACCCTGCTTCTGTTTCAGATGTGCTCTGCTGTGGCATCTTCTGTGTTGAGAAGGCAGCAGGGCTGGCCTTGGATGTGGTTCAGGCACAGCAGCCCTGGCTGGTGGGGAAGGCGAGAGCCAGGAGATGTGCTGTGCTGTGCTGGTAACGTGAGCTGCAGCTGCAGCGGTGGCTGGGCTGCTGTGCGCTGCGGGTCCATCTCCTGCCTGATCCCATTAAAGTCTCCACGTACACAGCAATGGAAATAAAAGCACAAAAGCCCTTAAAACGTTCAGCAAAAATTATTTATTTTTCACAATAGAAAAATATGTCACTTTCACACATGAGGTCTGTAAAAATCCACATCTTCCTCACAAGGCAAGAGGTTGCATCTAAGGGAAATTAAGCCGTGCCACGTGGCTGTTGACTTGTCTGTCCCTCCACAACAGAATCATTTCCATCACAGGGCAACACCTATCAGCAACATGTCTGCCCCTGTGTGCACCATCACTTCTGTGCAACACCACAGGGTTTGACTCCTCTTGGGCTGCTATTGTATTATACTCAAAAGGTCACAAGGCTTGAAAAATAATTTTGTATGGAAAAAAAAAAGAAAAGAAAAGAAAATTAACCCCACCAAAATGCTTTTCTTCATTTAATAGCTTAAACAATCTCAAGCTGCAGCATCCAAATCAAGCAACCCGGAGCTGAGAAATTTAGCATTACCTCATCTACAGTGGAAAAACTGGAAAATAAATAGTTGCTACTGGTGGAGTGGTAGCAAGAACGTGATTAGAGAACAAACCCTGCTGTGTGTATCAGTGCCACGGAGGATGATGCTGTCCAATGCACTCATTGTGCTTGTTTAGTTGAATCACGCTGACAGCAGCAGCGTGTGGCAAGTCAGACACTGCAGAACTGGCACTGATAATACTTCACAATGATTTCAGTGATTATAAAATAAAATCAAAGCTGGTTACATGTCTATAAATATATACACTCACGTAAAATTATGGTGCTAAGGAACAGCAGTGAGAACTCAGTAGTGCTGTGCTGCAGCTACTAAACTACTTTTCTGTTCAGTGTGGCCACAAAACAACCCGGAAAAAGACGAGGCCAGGGCAACTCAGCACTCAGCAGCACAAGCAGGAAAGGACTGCAAAAAAAGCTCACTCCCTTTTCCCGTTCAGGGGTGTTAAAGTTAGAACTGAAGAGGTCAGGACAGCACAGCCCCACTGCACTCCTTCCAGCACGAGGAGAACTCGCTGCTGCCCCACATCTCCCTGGCAGTGACATGCTCACCCTTCCCTCGGTTCTCCTGGGCTTTCTCCAAACCATCTAGAAGTTAAAAGCAGCCTCTTGCTTTTCTAAGAACTGTTTCAGAGGGAGGTACTGGAAGCCTGCAGTTGCAGGAGAACCCTATTCCTAATCTGCATTAGCAGAGACCAACAGCTTTTGGTCTCTCTTTCTTATTTCTCCCTGCTCCCAGGGTCAAAAGGGTTTGTATCAGGTCTGAGGTTACAGACCAGATCTGTTTCACCAGCTGAGCAGCAGCACTGGAGTCAGTGGCACAGGCAAACCCAACTGCAACACACCTGCCTGAGCTAAAGACTCCGGCAAGTTTAAAGACCTGTATTCAGTACACACTTTTTTCTTTCCCTTTGCTAAATCCTTAGCAGTATTTGGTGATGTTGACTGTGACAGTACCCGTGAAGCAGAGATGCTTGCACAGCCTTGTTTTGGTTTTGTAGTGACAATAAATAATCGGAGAAGCTTTGAGGACAACCACAAGGGAGATGGCCCAGCCTCTCCTGGAACCTGCCACCCAGTCCAAGGTGCTCCAGTGAGCGAATGCTCAGTACAGCTGACTCTTCACCTGGTGCAGGACCCCGATGACGATGTCCCGTAGAGTCTGGGGCAGAGAGGAGACAGTCAGTCGTCCAGGGGAGGAAAAGTCCTTCCCAGGCTCAATGCTACAGCTAGCACACCTGGTGCCAATGCCCACAGAACGTGAATGGGAAATGATCACCTGTCTATGTTGTCAGGCTGCAGGGCTCCACGCAGCCACAGCACAACAAGGACCTGGCCTTGCCCATACAACTCCCTTCTAACAAAGCCTTCTTAATTCCCTCCAAACTTCTAGGTGTCTTGGGGAACAAGGACCGTCTTTCTAAGCTCTGTTTTTCACTGTCTGGCTTTCACTACCAAACCAGTTCAGCAAGCAGCTGGGGATGAGAGGGACTCGAGTTCCCATGCCCCAGTCTAGTGTCAGCCACACAGGAGAAAGGAAAGTTGCCCCAGGAGAAAGGAAAATTGCACATGGGCCTGCACTCCAGCTGTGCACAGCACCCTTTGCCCTTGCCTCAACCCACCCGTGTTTGCTGTACTCACGTGGGGCTTACAGTGCTCCTCAATCCAGCTGAAGACACATGCTGAGAGCTCCTGAAAACTCGTGACTGAGATGGAGGCATTAAAGGACTCAAAGAGGGAATCCATAATGCCTTGGAAAACATTGAATTTCACCTGGTCAGAGACCTGGTCCTTCCCCTCACTTGGGTTGTCCTGGTGAGCTTTCACAATCTGCTCGTAGTTCCTGAAACAAAACAAGAGCTGGGTTCAGTGCTGCCGTGAAGCCTCGTACTCCCCAGCGCCTGAGCAACAACTGGACACTGAAAACAGCTTCAGAAATGGAGAGCAGAACGAGTCTGCAGAAGATCCTGCAAGTAAAATAAATGCTGGGAAGCATGACAGTGAAAGCAGATTCATTTTCAAACCTGAAACCATCTCCATACTTTACCAACTGATCTGAGTCAGACCTCCTAACAGAGAAGAAACGACAACAGCAGAGTGGTACAGCTTTGGTACGACCCCAGGAGCCAGACTGCCTGCAAAGCACTGAGCCCAGACCATGGGGAAAAACAGCAGGAAGAAGAGTGCAGCAACCAAATAGCTTCTTGCTTACACTTTCATTATCTTCAAGGCCATCACATCTTTCCTGAGAGTAGAAACTTCCTCTTCTTGCTTCTTCTTTTCCTTGTGCAGGAACTGAATATAATCAATGGCTGAACACAAAAATACAGAGTAAGAAGCTGCGAGCACACGGATGCCCCTCTGATCTCCTCAAGGAGGGCTCCCTGAGGCAGTCACATAGAATCCCTGTGTTGAGGTGTTTGGGGGCTTGAGAGAAAGCCCTCCCACCTCCCTGCACTCAGACTCACTTTTCTGGAGAATGATGGCCTTGCTCAGCTTCTGGGAGCCGATGGAGAAGTCCTGCTGCTGGCAGGTGGGCACGATGGCCTGCAGGTCGTCATAGCCTTTCTACAGGGGGCAGAGCCACGGCTCAGGGACACGGGGCGCCACACGGGGCAGCGGTTCCACGGAAGTATGCGGTACGGACCCACATCCCAGCTCCCACCACAGCCAAAAGCGGCTCCCGGCTCACATGCGGCTGAGGGGAGCGGATCCGGCACGAAACAAAAGGGAAAAGGCGTAAAAGGAGCAGCGCGGTGCCTCTGAGGTACCTTGATGGCATCGCGCCTCTTCTGCTCCGCCTGCGTGTGCGCCCGGCGGCGCTGGTCCTTGTAGGACTCCTTGTAGTGCTCCTGGGTGTAATCGCTGTCCTCGTCGTCTGCGGAGAGAACCGCGAGTGAGCGCCGGGCCGGGCCCGCCCCGAGGGCCCCGCGTGTCTTTGCGGGAGCCCTGCAGCCTCAGCCGCCCCGCTCGCATTTCGGAGCGCCGCCGCCCCGGCCCCGTACCGGTGTTGGGCACGGAGGAGGCGCTGGTGGAACCGATGCTGTTGGCGCGGGACACGACGCTGCCCTTCCGCGCGCTGTCCATGAAGAGCGCTGCGGGGAGAGAGAGCTCAGAGGAGCGGCTCAGAGGAGCGGCCCCGGGATCCGCCCCGCCGCACCTACCCGGCTCCGGGCCATTGTCCCCGTACGCAGCGTCCACCTGCGGGCGGAGGGCGGCGGTCAGCGGACGGAGCGGCGCTCCGGGCCTCCGCCCCCCGCGGGCCGCCCGCTGCCCCCGCCTACAACCCCTCGCCCTCGGCCCGCCGCTGCCCGCCCCGCCTTCACCTTCCCCCACGCTTCCTCCGCCGCGGCGCCGGGCGGCTCCGCCATCTTCCCCCCGCCCCGGTCACGTGAGCACCGCGGGGGCCGCCGGGAAACGCAGTCCTCCCGACCGCCAGGAGGCGCCCCGCACGCCTGCGGGCAGCGCTGCGGCGAGACGGGACACAAAGAGCCACGGACACCGAGAGAGAGGAAGCGCGCTTTAACCGCCTCTCGGCCGCGGGCTCACGGTGCGCGGAACCGTGCGCGCCGCTCGGCGGGTCGGGCTCAGCTCTCGGAGCAGCGGCGTTTCCGGTCCGTTCCGGCGCAGCGGGCAGCGCTCCCAGCCCCGTGGGGTTGGGACTCACCGGACTTACGCCCGGTGCCAGGACGCGGCCGCCGCTCTTCCCCCATCCCGGCGGCGCTCAGTTGGCGGGCGGCTCCGCGGGCGCGCGGCTCAGGCGCTGCTGCAGGAGCTCCCACGCCTTCTCCACCTGCCGACGAAACGCCATCAGCAGCGCCGCACGCGGAGCTCGGCGCCGTCCGTCCCTTCCTGCTGCGTTTCCGACCGGCAGCAGCCCCGCCGCCGAGCTCCCGTCTCTCCGCTCCCGTGCCGTCGGAAGCGGCCCGCGGCTCACCTGCCTGCGGGTGACCTCCGGCTCCCAGAGCGTGCACAGCACCACCTGCGCCTGCTGCACCCTCTGGCTGTCGCTCATCTGACTCCGCAGCCGGCTGCGGGCAGCCTCCTCGCTCAGCCCGTCCCTCCTAACGATGCGCTTCACGGCCTGCGGGGACCACGAGGGGACACACGGGGCTCACGGGGACGGCCGTGCGGCCAGAGGCAGCCAGCGGGCTTCACTCACCTCCTCCTCAGGGATGATGGCCACCCACACCTCGTGCACCATCTCCTGCCAGTCGGCCTCCAGCAGCACGGCGGCATCCAGCACGACCACAGCCTTTCCTACGGAACGAAGCTGTTCCTCGTCACCTGGCAACTCCAGGGCAGCACGGGCGCTCCTGGGGGCCGGTGCGGCCACTCGCGGTCATGCCGTCCTGAACGCTGGCAGCGAACAGACCCCATAGAACCTCACATGGGAGGGGCAGCGCTGCCCGATGCGGGATTCCCATTGAGCTCCCAGCAAAGAAAATGATTCTGCACACACCATGCTCACTAAGGGGCACTGAACCAAAAAATAGAAAGAAGGCAATGCCCGCTCCAGTTCAGAACAGGAAGTCTGAGTTACAAATGCACTCAGGGGAGTGAAAATCTCTAGTAAAGAGCAGCTGTGAGCTGGAAGATACTCCATGTGCTACCCAAAGCAGCAGCTGCCCCAGAGCAGCATAGCACCGTGCACCCAGCACCCACTGTGCTCCTCACAGCCACCCCTTACCTTGAGCTCTCGCCTCTCCGATCCGCTCCCTGACCATCCGCGCGATCTCCGGCCACACGATGCCTGTGAGGCTCTTCAGCCGCTCCTGCAAAGGAACCACAGTGGTGTCAGGGGTCCTCCCAGAGGTCCTGGGGGTCCACAAGGGACAAGCTTGGAGGGGGCTACAGCTAGGGAAGCAACAGGAGCTGCTGCCTGGACTGTGCATTCTGCATGGCTGCTGATTTGCTGTATGCCACTGCAGCAGGAATGTGGCACCAGCTCAAAGGGCTGAAAATCAAAGCCCCAGCACAGAGTTCCCTGCTCAGGAGGTTAAATATTGACATTCCCTCTGCTCCTCATACCTGGTTTCCAAATACTTTTGCCCCGAGGGCCTTCCTGTTAATTGTTCCATCTTTGTTCAAGATCTCTGTAAGACAGAGGGAGATGGTTCGGGAGCAGAAAAAAATCCAACTCACACCTCCACAGCACCTCCCGGCTCACCCGGCCCTACCTGCCCCAAATGCAGCCACCACCTGCCCATGGGCCTGGCTGCCAGGCAGGTATGCGGCGTGGCCCAGCGCATCGGCATCGATGAGGAATGCTCCCATCTGCCCCAGGCGTTGGGCGATGGAGGTCTTTCCGCTCCCGCTGCCCCCGGTCAGACCGATGATGTAGGGGCGGGGGGGGAGCGTGGGGCTGTCCTGGGGAAGGAAGGGTCAGACGGGCGCTGGTCCTGCAGCTCCCAGCCCCCAGCAGCTCCCCCTACCCGTGGGGGCCGAAGCAACGTGCCGAGCAGCCGCTGTCGCAGGCTAGAGGAGCTGATCTTCTCCTCCTCATTGTGGCCGTGGTAAGGGTCCTCCATCAGCTCGATCTCGAAGAGTTCCAACGCAGCGAGGCCCTGCCGGGAGGGGACACCACTGAGCCCCCTAAACGAAACTTTGGAGCCCAGAGATCTCAGCCCCTCCAGTTACATTCTCGATCCTCTTCTTGTTCACGGCCTCCCCGCCCCTGCGCGTCTCCTCGCTGACAATGATGCAGCGCAGCTCCGGGTCCGTGACTGCAGGGCCGTAGGGGTCGCCCAGAGGCACAATGTCATACAGCACTGAGGGCTTCACATCTGCCAGGAACTCACGCAGTTTGGCCGCCCGCAGTTCGTAGGGCTCGATCAGCTCCCGCAGGACCTTGTCTGCAACAGCGTGCAGTGATGAACAGTGAGAGCGGCAGAGCAAATGGTTCTACGGTAGGAACCCTCCAGTGGTGCCCCACCACCACCACCATCCTGCCCACAGGGCCCCACAGGTCTGCAGGGAAGGACAGCAGCTGTGGGGTCTGGGCTGTCCCCATAATCAGTGCCCGCCGCCGATGCTGACCCACATCCCCTCCCACCGGCAGTGCCCGAGCACTCTGAGCCACCCGGATGCTTTCCCAGACCCCAGCCCGGGGGAGGCCCTCAGCCCCCACTGCGTCTCACAGCGCTGTACCCGTCTACACCACCATCACCGCAGGCATTGCCCGCTCCCCACCGCGCCTGCCCCGGCCCCCCTTCTCCCGGCACTCACGGCGCAGCAGTTCCCCGTCGGCCACCCCGACCAGCAGCCGCCGCCGTGCCAGCAGGCAGCAGGCGCTGAGCAGCAGCCGGTGGGCGCCGTGCAGCCGATCGAAGGTGCCGCCGACCGCCACGTCGGGATACGCGGGCAGCTCCGCGCCGGAGCCGTTGGGCAGCGCCTCGGGGCCGTCGGAGCCGCTCAGCAGCAGCGCGGGCAGCCCGGGCGGGCAGCCGTAGGCGGCGGCGGCCAACTCCCGCAGCGCCACCCGCACCGGCTCCGCGTCGCCCGCTCCACCGTCGGCCAGCAGCACGCGGGGCGGCCGCGCTAGGCGGTGTCCGTGGCCCAGCAAAACCCGCACGTCCAACCCCCGGTGCGCCGCCGCCGCCGCGTAGAGCGCGGCCAAAGCGCGGAGCAGAGCGGCGGCGGGCGGGGGGGCGGCGGGGCGCGGCGCGGGGCCGTCCAGGCGCAGCCCCGGCTGCAGGTGCACGTAGAGCGGCCCCGTCACCACCCCCGCCGCCTCCGCCAGCGCCGCCGCCGCCCGCCGCGGTAACGCGCCCAGCGGGGCCGTTAGCACCAACAGCCCCGACGGGAACGGCGCCATGGCCCCGCCGGAAGATCGCACCGACCCCGAACGCGTCACGGCGCCTCCCACCGCCCCGCCCCCGTCGCGCTGCTCAGGGCTTTGTAGTCGGGAGCGACGTGGCCGCCGTGGAGGCGGGCCGGGATTGTGGGGCCCCGGGTCCGGGAGCGCTCATTCGACAGCTCCGATGCCACCCCCCCCGGTCCCGGTGCCGTCCCCCGTGCCCGATCCCCGCCCTTCAGCAAGAGGCCGGACCGCAGCCGCGGGCACGAGGCTTTATTGCCGGGGCCATCCCGGGGCCGCGCTCACGGTTGCTCCTCGGCGGCTTCACCGGGGCCGAAGACGAAGTCGTGCATGGCCCGCACATAGTCAGCGCCGTCGGGGCCGCCTGGCCTCAGCCGCGCCAGCGGGGCCGGGAGCCGCGCGGTGATGCAGCGCAGCGGCGGTCGCGGGGCGGCGATGGCCTCCAGGAACACCTGCACCGCGGCGCCGCTCAGCTCAGCGCCCGCTGTGCGCCCCACAGCCCCACCCGGCGCCCACCCCGCGGACCTGCAGGACCTCGTCCACCTCCTGGGCGGCGTCGAGGAACAGCTGCGCGCAGTGCTGCAGGTAGCGGCGGTACAGCTGCTGCGTCTCAGCGTCCAGCGCCCGCAGCTCGTGGCCCTCGGGGTCGGCGCGCCGCGCGTTGTCCATGAAGGCGGTGTGCACCGGGCCGCACTCCACCAGCGTCATGCTACGGGAAAGCAGCGCCCCTGAACTCACAGCCCATCACGGGTCCCACACCTCACCCCACGGCGCTCACTGGATGTTGAAGGGCCGCAGAACGATGGCCAGGCTCTCGCACAGCCCCTCCAGCGCGAACTTGCTGGCGCAGTACACGGCATTGAAGGGCACCCCTGGGGCGGAGCGGCAGCTGAGAGCTGCGTCTCTCCCCCTGCAGCCCCGCGGGCGGCCCCATGCCCACCTTGCAGCCCCCCGACACTGCTGGACACGAGGATGCGCCCGCTGCGGCGGCGCTTCATGGCGGGCAGGAAGGCCTGAATGGTGCGTGCGGTGCCGAAGACGTTCACCTCGAACACTGCTCTCATGGCCTGCTCCGAGCACATCTCCAGGGGGGCCATCAAACCCACCCCTGCATTGCACACTGTGGGGTACGGTGCTGGTGAGCAGGTGTCCCATTACCCCAGCACTGTTTGCATACAGGGACGTGGGAACCCAGCCCCAATCCTCTCTGTGCCCCAGCACACCCATCCCCAGGGCTGCAGTGCCATCCAGGCCCATCCCCATATTGGCTTCCCCGCTCCCGGCTGTGCCCTGGGGAAGGTGCCGTACCCAACACGTCCGGGTGCTGCCCCTGCATGCAGCGCACAGCCGCAGCCAGCGAGTGCGGGTCGGTGACGTCCAGCTGCAGCAGCTCCAGCGTGTCGGGGCAGCGGCCCCCCAGACGCTCCAGCAGCTGCTCACCCTTGGCCAGGTCACGCATAGTGGCAAACACTGTGGAGAGAGCGCAGCCGTGCTGTGCCACGCAGTGCTGGGACCCGCACCCACGGCATCATCCCTTTACCTTTGAACCTGCGGGAATCGTCGGCCGCCAAGCGCACTGCCAGCCCCAGCCCGATGCCCGAGGAGCAGCCGGTGATCAGCACTGTGCTCTTCTCCATGGGCACCGCGGTTCTCTCCACAGCTGACAGTGCTGGACGTGGGGCCGCGTGGTTTTTAAAGGCTGGGCTGCCCCCCCCCCACCCGCCGTGTTGTGTCTGCCCGCTTATCTCAAGGCCCTCCACCTGCAGCTGAGGCGATAAGGACCCCGCGCTGCTGCCACAATCCCCTCAGCCCTGCACCAGCCTGGGACGGCCCCGAGCTGCCCCACATCCTGTGGTACTTTTTCCCTGCACACCACCCACATTCCCTCTGTGTGGGTCATGAGCTGCTTCCTTCAGCTCATTAGAAACAAACTGCGTGCTGGAGGGCAGCAGAGACAGACACAGGAGCCCAACGGTATCAAGCACCCAGGGCTTTAATAGCCCCTCGTGCTGACTGCCAGTAATGGGAAGAAAAGGCAGAGAAAAGCCCGCCACGGGGAGCCTGGCAGAATCTCTTTCAATACAAAGGCACTGTGTGTAACTGGGGCTGCCCTTGGAGCACCACAGTCCTCCCAAGGCTGCCCCGGGGACCCATATTTTGCTGCTCCACCCTCACCAGCTCCTGCCTGGGCACCACCCAGCTTCCAGTGGGGCAGCAGAGCCCCACTCCTGCGCCTCCATGCTCTGTGGGCAGCCCAGCACGGGGCAGGCTGGGTGCTGGCAGGATCAAGCAGGTCTCTGGGCTGCAGCAGCCCCTGGGGCAATTCCCATCCTCTGGGATGCAGGCCGCTCCCGCTGGTGCTCAGCTCCTTCATTCTGGCGCTGGTCACAGGGGTGCAGCACTCAGGTGTGGGGGCTCTGCCCTCCTCCTGGGGGGGCTTTGAGTGGCACAACCCCACATCAGGGGGGCCCGTCCCAGCCACGCTGTGTGGCACTGGGATAGTACTTGAGGAAGATCTTCCTGGCAATCTCCAGTGTGTCACCGACAGGCATCGCAGGGTAGCGCTTCTCATTGTAGACGAAGCCCCTCTCCACTTGGAAGACAGCCTGGTTGAACTGCTCCTGGTGGAAGGGGCTGCCTGTGTTCAGGCTCTCTACCAGCAGAGAGACAAAGAGGGTCCAGCGCACCCCATAATAATCCAGCACCAGCCCCGCCAGCTGCTTGTTGGCGTAGTCCAGGATGTTCCCGCTGGGCCCCCACAGCGTCACCTGGTTGCGGGCGTTGTGCTCGTACTGCTCAGCCTCACGCTCACTGGTGGCGACGGCGCGGGCGGATTGCAGCATTCGGCCCAGCAGGAAGAGGCGCTGGGAGCCCAGCAGCGCGTCCAGCTCGGGCAGCAGATCGTACAGCAGAACCCCGCCGGCCGCCAGCAGCTCAGGCAGCGCGCGGCGCTGGAAGGCGTCTCGGATGCGCTGGTAGTAATCGCCCACCAGCTGCTGCACCGCCTGCCGCGTCACGTCAGCCAGGTCGTAGCGGAAGGCCGGGCTGGAGCCCAGCGCGGTGCCGGCGCTCAGCAGCAGCCTCCACGCCTCGAAGACGTCGCTGGCGTTGTACCAGAGCTGCGTGTCCATGTGCAGGGACGGGCGGCGCACCAGTGGGCTGCGGTTGTGGTTGATGCAGGCGCCGGTGCAGTTGTAGACGCTGCGCAGCAGCAGCTGCCATGCGGCACTGGCGGCAGCATTGGGGGCCCCGTAGCGGCGCTGGGCGTAGCGGGACACCCACACAGGGAGGTTAAGGGGCTCGTGGCGCCAGCCCAGCTCGTTCATCAGCTCGTACACCATGTCGTTCTGCTCGATGCCCTCGGGCACCAGCCCTGTGCCCACCATGGTGGAGTTGGGGAAGCGCCGTGCCACAAAAGGGCCGCGATTGATGGCATCCACAGCACCAAAGAGGCCGTGGTTGCCGCCAAAGTTGTGCAGCATGCACCAGATGAAGGGTTGCCCATAGAAGGACTCGGTCCACTCGTAGACAGGTTTGGACTCAGCGAAGAGGTCGAGGACGATCATGCGGCCCAGGGGCACAGCACGCAGCACCGCCTGCACCTGCGGCGGCTGCCAGAAGGCCGGCTGGTGCTGGAAGAGCCACCCCTGCATCAGCCACTGCGCCTCGGGATCCGCTGCAGGCAGAGAGCAAAGTGAGCACGGCAGCCACAGTCCCAATGGCAGCTGTGGTGGGGCCTCAAGCGCGCACAGCACGGCCTCGCAGCGACCCACCTCCCGTCATGGCCCTGAAGACGGCGTTGGTGATGCCCGCCAGGTATGCGGGGTCAGAGGACAGCGGGCTCATCTCGTTGAAGGTGTCTGCGCTGTACATGTGATCAGTGCCAAATTCCTTGATGAGCTCCTTCAGGAAGAGTGTCCCAATCACCTGGAACATGGGCTCCTCAGGGGACAGCAGGTAGGCACAGGACAGCGTGCAGTCAAAGTGGCTCCAGTTCCCGAGGCGCGTGGCGTTGATGCGCGGGAAGACCCTGAGTGGGGACGGGATGGGAATGGGCAGTGGGACGAGGCCAGGGGGCCTCATGGAGGGATGCAGGCAGGGCCCTGCAGGGCGCAGGGCTGCGACTCAGAGCAGCCACCCTCAGTCCCACTTACCGCAGAACCCCCGGTGGCACGTGGCCCGCGAAGGCCGGCAGCACCGTGGTCATCCCCAGCGAACGCATCCGCTCCACGATCCTGTACTGAGGGGGAGAGAGCAGGGAGAGGAGCCCCGCGCCCCGAACGGGGCCGGGAAACGCCAGGGCGGGGCGTCCCGTCCCCCCATACCTGCAGATACAGCTGCTGGAGGTGCCACGCACGCGGCAGCGGCCCGGCCCAGCCGTGCAGGTTCCCCATACGGTTCCACGCCAGGAACGCCGGCCCCGTGAAGTGGGCGTCGATCTCACTCTGGTTCAGCCCCAGCGTGCGGTAAACCTGCACGGCCTCGGGTCAGCCCCGCGCCGCCCGCCGCGCCCCGCCCGCCCCGCGCGGCACCCACCCGCTGCCACAGCGCCTCCTGCCCGGCGAAGGCGGGCGCCGCGTTGATGCCGCTCAGCGCCATCCAGTCGATCTCGCGCTCCCAGCGCTCCCAGTCCCACCAGGCGTACGAGTAGCTCTGGGCGCAGACGTTCTGGTAGTAGCGGTACCTGAGGGCGGCGGGACGCTGAGGGCTGGGAGCGCTTCGTGCCGCGCTGACGGGGGGCGCGAGATGCCCGCACCGGGACACGGACGGGCGGGAGGGAGGAAGCCCGGAGCCCAGAACCGGGGGGGCCGGGGGGTCGGAGTGCCGGTGGAGCGGCCCCGGCCCCCGCGGTTCATCGCAGCTTCGGGGTGCCCCGCCGGTACCTGTTGGGGGTGGCGGCGCGGATCTCAGTCTGCAACCGCGGCAGAGGGTCGGGCAGGCGAAGCTGAGCCGCAGACCACGAGAGATGGCAGCCGCAGAAGTCCCGCAGGTACCGGTAGAGGCCGGCGGCGGCCGCCACGCCGCTGGAGCCCGTCACGGCCACGGCCACGGCGCCGCCGGGCGGGGAGCGCAGCCGGTACGCGTCAGGCCCGCCCGCCGCCAACGCCGAGTCCACCGACAGCGCCACGGCGGCGGCCCTGGAGCCCAGCAGGCGCCGCGCCAGCGCCCGCACCGCCGCCTCCTGCCGCGCGTCCCCCACCGGTCCCCGCAGCTCGGGGGGCAACGGAGCCAGCGCCGCCGCCAGCACCGCCGCCATCGCCGCCACCCGCAGTGGTACCGCCATGGCCGCGCCGCTTGCTTCGGGCCGTGCCGAGCTCCGCCAATCCGCGCCGCCGGCGAAAGGGGTCGGGACCACTGAGAGCCAATCAGCGACAGGAGGCGGGAGGGAGACCGGGGTGGGGCAGAGCGGAGGCGGGGCCATGGAGATGGGCGGGGCCATGGGCGTGGGCGGGGCGTGGTGACCCTCTCCCTCCCGGCCGGAAGGGGGCGCTGTCAGTCCGCGCCCCGCGGCGCTGCAGGAAACGGGGAGGAAAAAGCAGCGCCTGGGAGCGGGAGGGACCCCGCACCGCCCGGAACCCCGCACCTCTGGTAACAGGCCGGAGGAACGGCCGCAGGACCCCCAGCTCCTGTCCGATCCCTGGGAGCAAAAAGAGACCGCAGCCTGCAGTGCAGCGCCTTTAATGCACGGCGACTTACATTAACGCATACAGTGATCCCCAGTCACGCGGCGGGTCTCGTTCTGCAGCCCGCACCGCCCCGCACCCCGTCGCTGCTCCCGCACATGGCGGCGGCGCTCCGCACGCACACGGCAGCGCTGCATGAGATGCGCGCAGCTCTTCCACAGCTTCCGGCTCAACTCCAGGCTGGGGGGATTTGTGTTACTGTTCTACTCTGTTCACACACAATACAGCAACAACTAAAACTCACTAACAACTAAAACTGAGTTACACACAGCACAACACAGCACACAGCACAGCACACAGCACAGCACACAGCACAGCACACAGCACAGCACACAGCACAGCACACAGCACAGCACACAGCACAGCACAACGCACAGCACAGCACAACACACAGCACAGCACTGCACCTCATCGGGCTGAGAAGGGCGGGGGCTGACCCACAATTTGCACAGGAGAAAAAGCGGCGTCGGCAGGGGACGGAGCGGAGCTGCTTTGCCACGCACATCTTCAGCGCCCCGCAGGGCCGCCCGGCACGGAGCTCGGGCAGCACGGGGCGCCACAAGCAACGCAGGCATGGAAGCACCCCGTGCAGCTCCGTGTCCGCGCCAAGGAACCACACACACAACTTCCTCCGAAATCTCTTTTCCTGAGCAGGAGGCTTTATGCAGGATGGAGGTACTGCGCCCTCCTGTCCCTGTGCTCCTCAGCCCATGTTATTCTCACAGTACCCTGACAGACCCGGCAGGAAATTCACAGCACAGCAGCACAGTTACACCACAGCGACACGCCGTGCCGCGGCAGCGGTAACTTAAGGGAGAAGTTTCTTGATCAGGATCACTCATTAACCCAGGAACGCCGAAGCACGCGGCTTCCCAGTTTCCTGGTCACACTCAGACTGCTGCAATAAGTTACATTCGCTATGGGGACACAGACGGGACACAAAGCTCAGGGTGCAGCTCAGGGGATGCTAATCGTCAAACTTCCCCTCGCGGATGGTGTCAAAGGAGAACGGCAGGAACTTGAAGCCCGTGCCAGTGTAGAACTTGTTCTGGAACTCGATCCTGCAAGAGAAGGAAGGAAATTGCTCGTTAGGAAGGCGGGTCTCTCCTAGGAGTTAGAGATTAGCAAGTAGTTGCTTATTGACTATAAAAAGTAAAGCTTTAAAGATTATAGAGGTATATCTACAACATATTTACAATATTGTATTATAGAATTATACATGTAGCATATATAATCTGACCTTTATAACAGATATAATGGAAGATGCTATAATGCAGCACTCCCACTGGCACAAAAACCATTCTGGTGTTTCTGGAGCACAGCCGCACTGCAGCAGCACTCCGATTCCACCCACAGGCAACACAAAGAGCAACAAAAACAGGAAGAAGCCCCTGACCATGCTTGCTGAGCAGCACACACGGGCACGTTACCAAAAGGCTGCTTCAGCTGCAGCAACACCCAGCCTCGTGATGCTGCTGACTTCCACCACCAGCAACTGCTGCTTGGTTACTGAGGCGCATTTGGTTTAAGCCCACACAACTCCTGAGCTCAGGGCGTGCGCTCTGACAGGGCACGCAGCTCAGCCTGGTGTGCCCAATAACTCGGCTTAAAAAAAGAATTATTCTGGAGATCTGAGCAATGGGAACAGCCAAATAGGGGGAGAAAAAAGAATCCCGTGGGTCACGCTAAAAACAGGCATGGTGTTTCATGAGCCTCATGAGAAAAACTTTCCATTGCGTGGTCCACCAGAACACCAGGCCTGTAGGAATCAGGGGACAGCAAATGGCACGGCAGTTCAAAACAATTCAGCATAAGTAGAAAAAGACTCAGTTATTTTTTTTCCCAAATTGAAATCAAGGCAAAATCCAAAGTCGCTGGTATTTCAGGGCAAAAAGGGGTTTCTTGGCAGAGCTCAGGACTGAAACCTTCAAAACGTTTTCCCCAATTGGTTCTGCTGCCTGTTGGTGTACATGAGATCAGAGCGGCCTGCAGAGGAATCCCTGGGATGAGCAGGATTTTCCACGTGGGAGGAAGGGCTCCTCGCCAACAGGCGCCAGCTTTCAGGAACCTCAGTCACCTCCATAAGTGACTCAGGAACGACTCCGTAAGCAACGGGAAAACAAGAGGCAGCTGGTTGGGTGTCTGACTCACACAGAACCCATTGTAAATGCAATTTTAACCCCAATGATGAGCTGTTCCAGCTGACCCTGACATCTGAAAGTGCCTTTTGGACAGACTGAGTTACAACCAGCCTCGGCTGAGTGCCTGAAACTCAAGGAGCGGCTGTTGGGAGCCTGGAGAACTACTGAAGTGGTTCAACTAAATGCCACAGCTTAAACGTCTGAGTGCTTCCTGAACTGTGCAGAGGAACACCCAGACCCCGAGGTCCCTTTTGGAATCAGAAAATGCTGTCCCCAGGAACGCTCCCTGTCTGTGTGCTACTTCTGCTGCTGAGCTGCGTCTCAACATTGACCAAGTTCTGCAAGAGTATTTACTGGACAGCACTGCACTGTCGATAAGCAGACAATGCTGTCTGGCAACTTGCATTAATGAAACAAACACCTTGCTTCAGATTTTTCTGTAGTGACAGCTGAGCGCTCGTCAGGCTGCAATTGCAAGGATTTTCCAACAGGCAGTCACAGAATGTCCAAATGTCTGGAAAACCGGGCAGCTCACAGCCCCAGCAGAAAGCAACTGGAGAGAGAGAGCAGGAAACCCAACTTTTGTTTGCTACGAAGGTAAATTCCTACGTGGTAGTTTTGGATTCTCAGCAGTGCTGAGGCGTGAGGCCTTTCAATGCATGAATTAGCAGCAAACAGCCCAGGCAGCACATGGTAAAGAAAAAGCACACTTATGTTTCTCTCAAGTCCACAAGAAGCATGAGCGCCTCCCAGGGATGTCCAAGTCAGGCCTAAAACAGAGCCTAAAATGCTGCTTTAGGCTGAAGGTGGCTACACTGAAACTATTTCTGCATCAACCCATGATGCTGGGAGCCTGCTTTGCTTCCAGTTACCATCTTCTCCTTTTGGACAAAGTGTGTTTGCTCAACTGGAATATCTGACTAGATTTAAAGAAAAGATACATTAACATCAATGTCAAACTAGATAGCAAAAAAAAAAAAAAAAAAGCAAACACAGCATTATATTTCAGTACAGTGATGTTGCAATGAAAGGAATAGTTAAGGCAGCTACCAAGCTCCAGCAGAACTGATATGGAATCGCGATCTTGGCAGCACTTTGAGTGCTTTCTCCACCCCAAAACGCCCCAGAAGAACCCAGCCTGCAGAAGGAATGCATGCTTTCTGCAAAAGCACACAGCAAGTCCTCCTCAACTGGCACTGATAGGTAGAACTCTCAGAAGAACCCATTCTTCTCACTAACGAGATGTGTGCTAAATGATTCCCTTTCCAGGAAGGCTGAACCACCCACACCTTCAGAATTCCAGATAGGGGACTCTCCTCCCAGAGTAACAAAATCCGATCTGCTCCTCCCAGCACAGATATTTTGTCCCCCTCCCCCATACAAACCATTGGAAGTTTACCAATTTCAGGTTTGGAAACAAAAAGGGATGTTAACAGCACGTTGTTTTGAACATCTGCAGGTGCACTTTTCACTCCACTGATAATGGAAATCCAAACAAAAGCAAAACAATCCCAGCACATCACATTCAGTCTGAAGTAGTGCCTACAGATTGCTTTTCAGAGACTAAACTTGAGCAGGTTCTATCTTGGAGAATGTAATTTAAGGTTTTACAAGTTTGAAACACAGGGGAAATATGACTGAAGAGCTTCAGTTCTGCAGCTCCCAACAAGGCCCTGCTACGCTGTGCATAGCACCTGTGACTTGCATGCTTACTGCTGTTGCTTATCTGTTTTTTTTCCTCTGCTTGCCATTCATGCATCTATCTTCCCTTTACACATTTCCAGGTCATTTTAATCACATTTTACAATGTGAAAAACTCTCTTTGCTGAGCTGTATCCTCTCACTCACACTTGATTCAGATGCTTTGTGAGCAGTATCCTTAAATGCAGTCTGATTGTTAACACAAAATTGGTATCTACAGAAAAAAAAACAAATAAATGAACAAAAACAAGAACACACTTTCCTAACTGAGGCCATTCCTTTGAGTAAAAAGGGTTACATCTGCCAAAGAAGAGCACTCAGAAACGTGCACCTCCTGTTATGCAGCAACGTGCCACCAAGCGCCACGCTCCAGACAAACAAGAGTTTAAAAATCCTGTGTTTTGCACACACTGAAGACCAGGGACACCACACACAGTTCTGCTCACTCTGCTCTTGGACTGTTAGCAGCAGAGCTGGGCAGGGGGTGCAGGACTCCCTTCACACTGACGCAACACGCAGTACAGTGACAGCAGTACGAGGATGAGGAAACGCCAGCCAGCAAGAAGGCCTCCAGTGCCTGGTATGAAGATTCCTAGGCCAGAAGCCAGGAAAACAGAAGCACCACCCAGCAGCCATTTCCAGCAGCAGCCCCCACATGGGCTCCCTCAGCACAAGATGGCTACAGCCAGCCCTGCATTTCCTGGTCCACCTCCACTCACTTTGCTACAGGGACGGCTGGAACATCTCAGTGCTCACCCAAGTAGGCTGTCAGCACAGAGAGCAAAGGGACGCAGTTACCACTCCTGAGAAACTGGAGGAAAGTGCAAAAAAGGGCGTTTCTGCTCGCTTTTGAAAGGCACAGACTTCCCACTTGGGAGACTGCTTTTAAAAAGTGTTCAGAACAGTTTTTCTTCCATTTAAGCAAAACAGAAAGCTCCTTCTGAACTTCACTTTGCTCTCTGTGCTTACTGGACCAGGCAGAAGACCAAAGGACGGAACAAAAAGCGATCCTACTGAAAGCCAGAAGCACATTCACTCACCTCACACAGGGTTCCCATCCTACTGTTCACAAAGCTCTGGTCTAATTCATTTTTAATTACAGTTCAGCTACTCTCCACAATTTCTAAGCAAGTTTATGTCTATGATAAGAAGAGAGGAGAGCATTAACAGAATGAAGAGTGAAATCTCTGACCATATTTAAGACTTCCTGCTGTCAGAGCACATCTTCTGTAGGATGTTTAGGGAAGAGTTACGGTCCTCCAGCACTTCTGAACATGACCAGCTCACCACAGCATCATCCACCACCGCAGTGTTACAGCCTCACTCACTGCGTAACAACCAGCACGATCTTCTGGAAGATGTGCATTTCTCCACATGACATCAATCTCCTTTCCATGCTGAGCTCATGATTTCTGAGCATTGCTGTAACTCACCAGTGCAAGCGAAGAGCATGGAGGAAAGCAGACAGGCCCTCCATGACCAGGAGAATTGCCACCGTCAGGGTAGCAAAAGCAGCAAAAATGAAGAAAAGGCCAAAGCCTCCAGCCAGACTCCTCACGCTGAGCCCAGTGTGGATCACCATGGTCCACAGCACCTCCGAGAGCTCTGCCAGGAGAAGAGAGGAGAGGACTCATTTCAGAGCATCCAACCACGAGAGAGCTGCAGTTTTCTTATAGAGCAGAAACCGAGATCGAGAAAAAAAAATCTTCCACCGTAATGAAGTGGGAAACACAGGAGAGACAAGAGTTTTTGCAGGCAAGTATGTCAGGACATTGCTGCCCACAGCCGCACGCAGTGCAGGCCCACTGCTCAGCAGCCCCGTGCTTCATTCCGCTCTTCCAATCCCACCCATCCTTCCAGATCCAGGCGGCTGTCAGCAGGGTGCTGTGCAGGCAGACAGTGGTGTTCACACACAGCTCTGCCCTCCTCCAGCAGTGCCTGAACCGCAGAGCCGAGCTCTGGGGAAGCCGCCGGCGCTGCTGCCCTTTGCCCAGGCCATCGGTGGCACTGAGCTGGATTCCCAGCCCAGGAGTACTCACGTGCGTGGGCTAAGCTGAGAGCCCAGAGCCTCAGGTAGGACGCAGTGTTGGAGATGCAGCCCAGGCAGTACTCAATGGTGTGGATGGCCTGGTACACCACAGTGTCAGCAAAGTCAAACTGCAAAGCGAACACAGAAGATGAAGAGAGCTGCGAGATGTGCAGGCAGGAAGGGCTGGGAGAACGAGCAACTACCTGGCGCTACCACCGAGGACATCGTGTTTGAACTCAGACACTGGTACTGTCTTCTCCTGGGTTAGCATGTCAGTTTTATGAATTAAAACCAAATTCTCCTGTCTGACTGGGTTTTGTAGAATCGCAGTTCACTGCTGTAGTTTAATGATTGTTTTCATGCCCTATTGTACAAAATCAAGATATCTTGAATTCTGCCATTGACTTTGCCAGGAAAAGACTGTACAGCAACAAGATGGTGTTCGTATGAATTCACTGGTAAGCTGCATGTGCTTCTACAAGAACAGAGACGGTATGCCAAGTCAATACTGCACACCGTTGGGAAAAGACCGCTTTGCAAAACATGGCTTATCCTCTTTGAAAGCAAAAATAATGCACAAAGCAGTTTTGAGAAAGCCCTACCTGTACAATTCATGAATCTCTGAAATAATAATTAAGAAATCATAAGGAAGTCTGCCATGAAGGACAGTTTCTTATTGTTCACCTTGTGAAAGCATTCCGTACATTTTGGATTTAATCTGTGCTTCAGAAACTGCTCATATTTAAGTCAAGTCAAAGTGGTTTTAAAGACACGGAGCAACCCGCATTGCAGGCATGCACAGCAGGCTGCGTGTGCTGACTGTGCTCTCAGTATACAGAGGGCAGTAAATATTGTAAGCAAAGTTAAACCAAGTGTCAGAAGTGCAATTCTTCCTCCACAGAGTGAGAGCTGCGACGTTCTTTAGCAAAAACTGTCCCAGCAAACAGTGCCACCTCCCAGCACACATCGCACACCAGCGTGCAACTGATGGAACGCGATGAGTATTTCAGCAATGACAATTCAGCCTCATGCAGCTGCTGGAGAGAATCCATCACTGTGCTGAAGGCTCAGCAGGATCCCCGCGTTGGGGTGGTTTTACACATTTTTCAGAGGATTACAGAATTAACACCAGTTCCACATGGAACTACACACCACAGGTCCACCTTCCGCACAACAGAACCACCTTCAGCATCATTTAAGACAACATCATTCTTGCAAAACTACTCTACTTTCACGGCCTTTACATTTTCGTAACAAATTTGGTTACTGATCTCCTGACACCTGCAATGAATTCTGCACAGGAGTTCCTAAAACCCACTCAGTACTCGTAATTCTTCCAACTATTTATGAATGAGCAGTTTCTCAGAACAGAGCCTCTCTTCCTACAGAAAAAATGCAGGTTAATTAAGCTGCTGAACTATATGCAAACTGGGCCAGATTTGCTGTATTTTCTCATTGGCAACAACCAGTATTGTCCTTAAAATGGAAGTCAGTTAGGGGGTGGGGGGGGCATATCAGCTTTAAGTGTTTTATTGCAATGCAGAATTACCAAAGACACAACATAAGGCAAATGAGACTTCTTTAGAAGCTTAAAGCATAAACTTCTCAGTTTCAGAGTTCTGGCTTAACAGCTTTCTGGGTGAACTAAGAGATCTGCAGACAGGGGATAAGACAGACAAGCTGAATAAATGAAGTAATCAGAGGTCTGTTAGTGGGTGCGACACTGTATGAAGGATTGAAGATGGCCTGCAGCGTGGCAACAGCTGGATCTTTTGGAAAAGATGCCATGACATAACGCTCAATTCAGTGTGTGGTTTACACCAATGGGAAATGTTCCAGATACACATGAGTGCAGCAAAGCTGGCTGTAGTCTTACCACCTCATCCTCTGTAGGCTTGAAAACATAAGTTCACATTTAGTGTGGTGTCTCAATCAACATTAATCATGAACACATTCAATCATCCCTCCTAAACACGACACGGTGAAGCAGTAACAAATCACATGCACTACGTGGAGCAACAAACTCCCAAATTAAAAGAGATTGTCTCCTTTTTCTTCTCTACCAGCAGTACAGCAAAGCAGGCAGTGCAACCCCAGCAGTCAGAACAAATACAGGTAGGAACTCACTACTATAGAAAAATGGCTTTGGGTTGTGGCTAACAGTAGAGAAGCAAACAGCAAAAGCACTCTGCAACCCTCACTGCACAGCCTGTGAGATGGTGGTTCCTTCTAATGAAGACAAACAGAACTAAATTTCCCTTTGCCTGCAAATTATACTTTTTCCCTGCCTTGAAGTCCTGGGAATGACCAGAAGACTGCAGTACTTTACTGCTATGAAAACACTTCACTGAGAATGTTGCTATCTAAACAACTGGAAAATACAGCCAAACCAGCACGTTCTGTTCCCACGTGCACTGAGAGAGGACGCTCAGGTACTTACCTCCTCCCCCTCCTCAGAATGGGTCGACAACTGATCATGTTGGATGATCTCAGCATCCTCCTCTGTCGGTCCATTGCCCACCCGGATCCCACCAAAGTTGTGTGTTCCCTAATACACGCAGAAAAAGAAATAATAAAAAGTGTTGTTTGTGGCTTACTATGACAGCAGAAGCTTCTTTTGACTCCGTGCACAGCAGCAGTTGCTCACAGAAGAAGACAAAATATTAAAGCCCAGGTTTAATCAGCTGTACAATTCCTTCTCTCAGTTTGGATAGAAAAGATGCTGAATCCTGTAAGGCTGGGAAAAAAGGTCTGAATGAATACTTGATACGTTCTATAAAGTAATTGCAAACCTAAGTAAAACAAATGCCCAATCTCTCATGAGGACGTTTGCTGTAACTGATGTGAACAGACCAATGTTTTGCACAACAGCAGCTGTGAAGCAAGCACGTAGAACCCGAGTGAAACACCACTGTTGTTGTAGGTGGGACGAGTCACACCGCGGCTCAGAAATGCACACACACCACGTCAGGCACAGCAACACACGTGGGAAATCAGACTTTCCCTCACATGGAAATTCTGCGTTGTGCAAACAGTTCCTTTTATAGAGAATTGTTTTGACATTCAGCGTCTGGCAGCCATAAACCCACCGCACTCCAAGCAGAAAAGAGTAAAGCCACAAACCAATCTGACACCCTCTGAGAGTCACCCAGTGACTGCAGTCACCGTTAACGTGAGGCTCATGGCAGGCACCTGCAGCCTCACAGCCGAGAATGGAGGCAGAGAGCTGCCCACCATGACTGCGCTCTCCAGCTGAGCTTTCCTGCGCTGTAAATGCGCCACACTACGGAGGGCTGAGCGGCACATCACTATTTCTGGACTTGTGCTCAGCAAGTGGCACGGCAGGATTCCTCCTTCCTGCCACGTGTTCCAAAGACACAGAATGCTTGTGACTGATCTGACGTGAACACCTCCGACTCTGACCTACCTACAGAAGCAAACTAAAGTGCCACAAATGGGAACAAAATCCCTGTGTTCAGCCTCAGGACTGTACTGGGGTCATCTGTGACATGGAATGCAAACAAACTACGTAGCAACATTAATTCTTGGTAAGTTTAGGGCTGGCAAAAATGAAGCACTGAGATTCTGAGAGCCGACTGCTCTCACACCGCACGGCTCTGGCGTCCAGCAGCACTGCTGCTCAGCATGCTGTTCTTCAGCTGATCTGCTCTTAAAGGCCAGCTTCTGCTTAACGCTGAACGTTTGCCCAAAATATCAGACATGAATTTAAGATTTGGCTGGGATGTTTCTAAAAAAAATAAATTAGGCATTTATGCTCTGAAAACAGAAATAAGATGAAAACAGCCAGACTACATTTCTAGCTAAGATAGCACTTCTACTACGATTTTTATCACAATAAAAAAAAAAATATCAGTAGTTACTGATAAATAGTATCAGTATTCCACTTCTATGTTCCTGGTTGCATGAATCTGTACCTTGAAACTCTTCCCTCACACTCAACTTGTGTCTGTTCTCTGCAGCCAAACTTCCCACAGCTCCAAAAGCTCCAACCAACTTCAGTTCTAACCACACTTCAAGCAAACATCTTCACTCACAGCTTCTCTTACTGGATGCACTTAATATGTTGGATGAATTATGCACAAGAGATGCACTGTCTTTTCTGACCTGTGTAGCTACTTAAGATTTCATAACAGAAACAGGAGCCAACAGCTAAGAAGTTGTCCCCAAATCACCTCTGACACAAAGTACAACGTGTTTCATAGCTTGAAAGACTTCAGCTTGTTAGAGAGGTGGCATTCAGAACTAAAACCCATCTAAAATACGATGTACAGGGGATGGGATGAAGTTCTGGAGCTGCTGCAATCCTTGCTCTCCCAGAAAGCTTTCACACTGAAGGGCTGCCTGTAGCTTATTTGTGCACCACCTCATTACAGCAGCTTTAAGTCAAAGTGCCACACAGGCACAGATGCCCCAAACCAGTAATTATTGCTGTGATGTTGGGAGGCCATCACTAAAATGCCTGGGAACACAACGTAAACAAAAATGCTTCAATGAAAGAAATCCTACTCTCGCTTAAACAAATATGCAAGAAAAGGAAAAAGGGGAACTTAACTTGGGGGGATGTGGCAGCAAGGTACTCTTGTGCCGCTCTGCAGGTTGTGATTTCAGCAACACTCCTGCAAAGAGGTGCCTGCATTCTGTGCGTATGTAACTATTATCCAGCAGCCTGGCAGCTCTTCCAGAATGCATCAGCTTTGCTGAGCTTTGCTCTTTCCAAGAGAAAGTCTCTTTCACCCTAAAGGTGCAGTAGTCATTCACTTATGGAATTCAGGAACATTTCGTGCTCTCTCGTTAATTCGATACAAATCCATCAGGTGATTTTTAATTCCACTCACTGTTGCAGCCGCTGCTGCCTCTAGTGCCTGCGCGTTCGGGACTGTGCTGACCTGGGCCTCCACGGGCTGCCCTTCCTGATAGCGAATGGAAGAAAAGAAGGGGAGGAGGAGGAAGACAAAAAGAGAAAGGGAGACGAATGGAGGGGACATGGGAGGATGAAAGATGGTCAGAGAAGGGAGAGGGAGTGTCTTTAACTGGACTGATCTTTGACTCGCTTAACATCCTAAAAGCTATCTGCCATACATGCAGGGGGAGTTTTCAAGTATTCCCAGTGCACACGTGCCAAGTTCCTGCATTTTCTAGGAAGGATTCTTTACAATACACTTGGAAACCTAGAGATTACCCCAGGAGATAGTTTCTCACATAAAAAAGAAATAGACTTGTGCTATCTTCTTTTTTAAACCATCTGAACTGCTTTACCAAAGATGGCTATTAAGTCTGCAGGCCAATGAAGCTAACTCCACTGCTTTTACATCATCACCCTAGCAAAGGCCCAGAAGTGCATCCAGCAACAAGTAAGACTGGGTTCCTGAACCAGCTGACAATGCTCAAGGCGGTTTTAGTGTTTTTATCACTACCAACAGGCAGGGTTTTTAAAGCTGGTTTGACACTGGATCCAGTTTGAGGAGCAGGCAGGCAATGCTTCGCCTCCAGTAACAGCCGCCTGCCTCAATGGCCAGGAACACGCAGAGAGCCTTTACAGGTCTGTAACACAGTGTGAACCCACAGACCAAGGACAAGGTGGAAAACAGCTTTTCAATTATAATTTGTTCTCATACTGAAAACATACAAAGTCGTCACCCACCAAGTGCTTTCTCCTTAAATACTGGTGGCGAAGGACCAGAGGTTTAGCTACCAGCATCCACGGCACGCACAGTAATGCCACCACCACGAGGAAACACTGGAGTCCTTTCTGTAAAAGAAACAAGCCTCAGGTGATTTAGTGATAGTCCATGTTCACACAAACGCTTTCAGGCAGTCTTAAGCAACACTGAATGACTGAATTCCCAGACTACGTGGATGCGTCACACACTCTCTCTTCCAAGATGTGCTGTACTTGATACCTGACTGCAGCTGCCCAGCTGCCTGCACACAAGGTGACACTGACACCGGTCAGATGAGGGGAAAGCCAAAAGATCCTGCAAGCAGCATTCACACGTGCTGCTGGGCGCAGAGGCACTGCACTGTAGGTGCAGGGCAACATCCCTACTGACTTCCCGCTGCTGATTTGGATCCACGTATTCTGGAGCCACAGCTGATGTGCTCAGACTGATATAAACTCTCCACACAGAAAATGTGTCTTTCTTCCGCATTACACAGCATTGGGCTTCAGAAACAATGCCACATTTCTTCTCTCACAAAGTGCTTAATCTAACAGTGATTATAAGGTCAATCAAAGACGAATATCGCAAAGCACCTCTGACCTTACGATTCAAAAAACAGTACACACCTGCCCTTTATAAAGCATCTTGTTACTGGTATCACCATAGGAAAACAGAAACATGTTGATGAAATGTATTAGAAGGCTTGGGGCTTCCTTTGATGTGTGAGCATCGTAGGCTGTCCATTTATAGAAAATGAGAATAACGAGGTATCCAAACAGCGAGGACATGAAAATCATCTCTGGAATAAATCCAAGGTATATGTTCAGTGGCTTCTTAAAGTATCTACAGGAAAATAAAAAGAGGAAAGTTTAAAATTACATTTAGTTTGCATTAGTCTGATGTAGGGCAAAAACTTTACATGAGAAGGAAAAAGGAGTTTGGTGACAAAACTGCAGAGGCTGTGCATTTCTGTAAGAGCTAGGTCTTAAACACAGTTAATTACTTGACTCGTGTAGTCATATGCACACACAGAATTAACTACTATGCCCTTCAATCAGAAGGTTAAAGTCTGAGGTTTCTGCATCTTAAACTGATACACAAACTAGAGCCAGAGAAATTCTGCCTCCTCTCCCATCAGAAAAACAGGAATCAGGCTCTTACATGTGGTTGAGAAGACTCAACATGACACCAAACAGCATGTGGATAATGCCAAGAATCACAGACATTTTCATCTTAAATGAGTTGAGGAAGGCCAGTTTATTGTTGGCAATATTCCAGATCTGTGAAAAACAGCAACAGTGAGTCAGCCCAACACGGAGTGAAAGGAAAACACAAAAGAATGAAAATGTTCCGCTTCAGCTGACCCGTGTTTGTCATACAGAGATCTGCTCAGGAAAGCTCAGCAGACAGCCTTTCTGATAAGAACCCTCACTGATCCCACCATCAGAGCAGGAATCAAACCTTGCTTATTTTCATTTTGCCAAAAGTAGCAGGAAAGGAGTGCAGAGGGCTGCTATCTCGACAGAAAACCTGTTCATACATTTCAACGAGAAATTACACGTAACTTCTGACTTTCTGCCACCTCATCTTTCATGTGGAACACATGCAAATTTTTCTATCAAATCCTAAAAGCAAAGGAGTAGCGTTATTGAAACAGGCAGCTACAAACTGACTGTTACTCAGAAATTACATTTCCAAGACTGACTGGAAAGAGAACTGGCTTTCTCCAAAGTAGGAAAAAAAGTAACTTCACAAAGCGATTTCTAAGTCTCATCCCAGATATGACTAAAATGCAGGTTGGAAAGGGTGAGGAAGAAATCTGCCATCGTCCCAAGAATAAGTCTTTCCACCCTGCACCTGCCTCTTTGGAACTAGATTCATTTTCATCATTCACGACTATTTCAAACACCTTTTGCTGGGACGTGGAAAACTTTCACAGTGATTCAAACAGATCCTTTTGTGTTTACACACAGGATGTTCTTGAAGGACAGCAGAGGAAGGAAGAGCTCTTACCGGGTCGATGCCAAAGGGGTAGGGGCCACCAAACACTCCTGCTTCAGCAGGGTCCAGTTGAAGCAAAGGAGTAGTCTTAAGCAGTTCATCTCTGTTTGGGTGTAAGCAGATTATACAACATGTCAGCACAAGCAACGCTGACCTCCTTTTAAAACTAACAGCATTCTTCCTTGTGAGTGCAAGGGATATCTCAAAATGAGAGAACTGTAAGGTTCCCATGCAGCCCTGAAGATTTTCCAGGAACAGACCTGACTCTTGACCTGTTACGCTGTGTCACAAGGAAAAGACAGAGGGACAGGAATGGCGCTACGTCAATAAGAAAGGTGATAAAGTGCATCTTTGTGAGTTTCCTGAAAACAAGCAGGTTCGAAACTCCAGAGGTATCACATTTGCACCCCTCTTCCTACTCCACCTGAAACTGAGTCCAGAAGTTTTTGTCTTCTAGAACTGGTAAGACAACGGTGAAAGATAAATCACCTACTTGGCACTGTCACACTTCATTCAATTAAGAACTATTTACTCACGACCAATTGGCTTTGGAGAACATCGGCCGGACGCTCCATGACGAGCCGAACATATTGAGAGACTTGGAGAAGCAGTCGTTGTAGATAAGGCCTGTGTAAGTGGAGAACAGCCCCATCAGCAGGATGATGTATCGACCACTAAAAACAGTGTTGAACATCTAATATGGAAAGAGGAGAGGAGAAAGTCTGTGAGAACAAGGGACATGTCTCACACAAACAAAACAGCAAAAAGCAGGCAGCAGAACAAGCAATGCTGGCCCACGGACTGACAGCACAGCATCCGTTTTGAGGGAGACCAAGGGTGCAAGAGGTAACTGTGCAAGAACAGAACCCGAATGTGGAGGATAAGCAGGCTGATTAGCTGAGGGGGATAAATTGCACTCCATGAGTGATGCAAACCCCAGCTGGCAGCACCACTTTGGAACTCAGCAGTGCTGACCCTGTTCCAGCTTTCTCCACGCTCTGTCCATGGACATTAACTGACTCATCTCCTATCAATCTAAGCCCTGAGCAAAGCAGACTTGTCCAGAACAGCAGAAAAAATAAAATCATGGAGATGCACACATTTGTGTGCTCAAACACTAGGAATTGTGCAATGATTGCAAGCCTTTATGATCCGATCTGGTTTTGGTTGATTCATTTACAGCAGCTTAGCTGTCCAACTGCACTCAGTAAACGATTTCCTTCAAATGTCTAAAAGAAATAATTTCCTACAAAATTCTGAAAGCAAAAACAAAGAAACTGACTGTTACTATGAAGTAACATGCAGCTCAGTCTATGCTGTACAGACTGGCATTCTGCTTGCGTGCTTCCTGTTTCAAGGAATAACAAAGGGGGAGATACAAGTAAATCCAGTCACAGCTCTGTACTGCACACAAAGCTGAGCACACCGCCCCTCCTTACCTCATTGTCACTTTTCTGTGACAGAATACGACTCTCCCTAAGCACCATCCAGATAGCAATCAGAGTCATCAGGATTCCGTGGCCAAAATCTCCAAACATCACAGCAAACAGAAACGGGAAGGTGATGATGGTATATGGGGCTGTAAGAGAAAGGCACTCCTGATGCACTGTATTTGACCAGGCCCAGATTTACTACAGTGCAGATTCCAAAGTTTGTTCCCCGCTGCCAAAGGCTGCAAAGTCCCATATTAGACATTTTCACACAGGACAGGCAATGGAGGAACACCATGACTAGAAATTACTTCATTACTTCTTGAAGTATGGATCTACCTGGATTTATTTCCCGATAAGTTCCAATGCCATAAGCATCAACAATGTTCTGAAAGCCACAGGTGAACTTGTTGGTTTTGTTGTATGTTGGTGGGGTCTGATTGGTTTGCATCCGATTTAAAATAGATGGGACAGTGGAACCACTGTGCTCCTGTTGTGGAAGTAAAAGAAAAAGAACAGATCAGGATTAGCAAATTCCTTGGGCCAATGGAAGACAGAGTAAAACATTTATTTCCTGCCAGCATTTGGAGAAGTACAGGCTTTCATTTTTGTAGACTGCTTCCCTGATGGAAGATGCTTCAGCCCTTGAAGAAGGCTGCCAAATTTCCTCTGCTCTCCCTGTCACGTAACAGCAGAAATAAAATTTTCAAGGCGCCCAAGTCTTCATTTTTACCTGAGCAGAGGGAGTGAGCTTGCTAAAGCTCTGGATCGTTCCTTTAAGTTCCACTGCATGTAAAAACAGCAGGACTGCAAAGCACAGCCAGGCTGAACAAATGACTCCAACACAGGAAAATGTTTTATCACGGCACTTCCCTGAACTTGAAGGCTTACACAACATTTTTGTAACTAAGTAAGGTGCACAGCAGAATACCTATCAGCCACGACTCCTGCACGTTAGATAAACTCTGTGAGGGCTGATTGGAGCAGTCTAAAGAAGCGGTTTCCAGAAAAATCAATTAATTCCTGTTGCATTTGCTGAGATCTGCTTGAACAGCAGACAGGAGCCGTGCAGCAGCTACTCACAGTGCCTCTCCGGAGGGCAAACTGGATAGAATCGAGGTCAGCAACAGGACACCAGACTTCAGCAATCAAGCACTTCTGTGTCACATCAATGTTGCACAGATTCAGGGTATGGTAGATGGCCTTCATCTTGCGGACTTTGATGAACCAGACCCGAATATTTTTAGCAGCTGCCTGCAGAACTCTCTGGCGGTGATCCTCAGTTTGGTTCAGCACCTTTCGTGGAAAGTGAGACAAAGATGAGGCAAAATCAGCAGCCAAAACTCACAGCATACAAAGAGCACAGCAGGGCTGACCAACAAGACAAGCCTTATTCAACAGACAATGGATGAATAAGCCCTGGCCCCATCCACGCACAGCACTTCCACACGCTGTGACGCTTTAGTTCCCATACTAATTATTCCCTTCTGCTAAAAGGGTTGGGGCTTCTTTCCAGGTATAGTCTGACTACTTTCCTCCTCCAACCCCAAGGTCAGTGGGTATTTCAAACAATGAGCTAAGCTGTTCAGAGACCACAGAGAACATTCTTTCCTCCACCCAGGTTAAAAGAGCAGAGAAGAGTCCTGCAGGCGATCCGCACAGCACCTGAAAACCCCCTAAAAACCCCGAATAACATCACAACACTTTTTTTTTTCCCTAAAAGGATAAAGTGTGTTTTACTGAGTGTTTTCCAACTGGAACGTGTCTAACTCAGGCAAAGTCAGATTCACAGCCTGGAAAGTCTGAGACTCAAGGGAAAGTGAGGACACAGGGCACAGCTATCACATGCAGCTCTGAATGTTAACAGTCAAATTGCTTCTGCATTCTTATCTACTTTACTAAACAGCTGCACCACAAATCTCCCAGCCTGATACGGGTTCTGTATCAAATAAGCCATTCAAATGCAACCATTTTTCCTTCTAGTTCCTGAACTTTCTCCTGATTTTCTCTTAGATCCCTCTGGTTTTTCTGCATTATGACATACGGCCTTTCCTCCTTGAAGCAAATGTCAAATATTTCAGAGCTGGCACTTCATAGTTTCGTGTGCTGACTGCTTTTAAACAAGCATTTAGGCTGCTGCACAACAGTTTAATCATAATGCAGAAACTCTTTAGGAAAGCAGAAGGTGAAAACATGAAGACAGGCAGAAAAGCTCGATAGGTTAAAATTAGCATCGTTATCTCAACATGGAGACAAGTTTAAAAATGTTTTCTAAGCTCTTGAAGATGAAACAGGCAATTATACAAGCATGCTTTCAGAGTTGGAAGCACAGTATCTTCTTACTCATGCACATTCCTCTCTGCTCCCTGGTATTCAGGTCTATATTGACACCATTTACATGTATATAATTAACTGCTCAGACACAGCAAAGACCAAACCACCACTCTAAAGTCTGAAAAAGAAAACGAGCAGAAAGCCTCCAGCAGCTTTCCTGCAGTGCTCAGCGTTGGTCTCAAGCTACTGCCAGCTGAAAACATGGTCACCTAACAAGGCCAAAACGATTCTCTTTAATAGGACCCAAAGATGAATTTAACTATTAATTACACAAACAAGTATTGACTGCATTTATTTTACCATCTGGAGATCATCAATTCTGGTGTTGACACCAGAAGCCATTTCCTTCCGCTCCTGTGGTGTTTCTGGGCATGGGTAGAGGGAGGCACGGAATCTGAAAGACACACAGGCAGCCTTAGTAACAAAGATGGGAGAAACATTAACCCACAGGGAAACAGATGGCTGAGACTAAACACAGAAATAAAGCAAGGAGCATCTTAATGTCAGCAAAGCCAGCCAAGCACTGCTTCAGCCTTCAAATCAGACGGGTATAGAAGTCTGCTTAAGGCCAAAACAAAGTTGAATACTGAAGAAACAAAAAGCAAACCAAACACCACCTCTGCTCCCTGCACCAACACAGTCCAAAAGCACCGTTGTGAAGTCGATTAGCCACCCAGTTCAGGGTGCTCCTATCATGCCAACGCAGCTGCTGCTAGAAGCAGTCACTGCTGGTCTCCTGAGACAGTGCTGCCTGCTGGCAGCCTGACAGACCTGCGTGAGAGTTCAGCACAAAGCCCGTTGCTTTTAGGCATTCTCTAACACAAAGCAGTTGTCTGCTTTGAGCGCTACAGGCTTAGGGAGCAGTCAGTGTGACTGCAAATGATACAGCTGTATCTGGTACATTTTATTTGCTGTCAAAGTATGTACTTCCACAGTCATCGCAGAGCAAGGAGCTGAAAACTGTGGATATGAAGCCATTTCAATGTGTTTCAAATATTTGAGAGCGTTCTTCTGAGTGTTACACGCGGCAAGATGCCCAGCTCTAAGCCTTCCAAGTAACTTCCGTACCCTTCACATATCTTCTTGACTCTGTTCTTCAACTGGTCACCTTGGAAAAAGATGATAAATACAGACTTGTGCACATAGTCCCCCTAGAACAGAAGAAAGGGTGTGTTGTAACAGCTCAGCCAGCTCCAAATATCAGCATTACAGCGAGTTACAACAGTGTCCTACTTTCCCCTCATTGGAATCTGTACACATAGAGACCATAACTGCACAGCGAGTCAAGAATGCACCTTAACACAGAAAATCACAAGGATCAGAGTCAGGGTTTCTTGGCCTCAATACTATTTCTGTATTTCTGTTTACTGAAGCAAAATGTTCTAGGTTATCCATCCTATCTCACAGACTAAACATGAAAATCTGGGAAAAATGGCCAGAAGAACAGGGATGCAATGAATAGATGTATCATCACTTACTGTGGGCAGCTGACGACAGAAACAAGCAAAAAGAGGGAACTAAAAAAAGATGGAGTTCAGCGGCCTTTTTTCTCCAGGGAGGCCAAGAGCACATTCTTTGCACAGCTGTTTTCATGTTGGTAGCCAGTTCCCCTTTCCTGCATTTGTTGACAAGTTATTGTTCTACTTCACTTAGGAAATACTTCCATAATGTCTAGAAATTAATTACATTAGGTGTAACCTCAATTTAAGGAAGTGCTGCGCATTAAAAACAAAGCCTCTCCTTGCTGACAGATAACTGAACAGGTCAGCCACCAGAAGTTAGGACAGGAGAACAAGGGAGCCTTGCATGAGAAACAGAGGCAATTAGTGAGTTTAATACGCCGTCTTCGTTCCAGTGCAGCCTTCATGCAGCCTTTTTTTTTTTTTTTCCCCCACTTTAAGATCCAAAAATTTGCATATTGTCCACATATTTGAGCAGAGATGACACTATGTAAAACCAGCCCCAATTACAAGATTTACTAATTGTACTTGCAAAAAAGCCAACCGTTCTCAGGCGCGCACTTAAATTTCTGGTTAAGATATTATGAAAAGCACCAAGTTCAAATTGAATGAGCCACGGCTGCCACGCACTGCTGCCATCTGAAAGAGCCTCTCTTGCACGGAAGTCTAGTCCACACACCAGCTGCACTTGCATGCTTGTGGCAGACAGGCAACGTCCCCCTGCAGCAGGGCTTATCGCCCATCTCTGCTTTTGTCACTGAAGCCTAAAATGCGGTAAGGAGGCACTGTGAAGAGCCGCAACACAAAAGCTTGCCTTGGTGGAGCTCAGGAGGGCAAGAGGCATAAAACTGTGAGTGGATCCTTCTACACATCTGAGCCTTTAGCCACCGTAAAGGACGGGTAACTTTACCGTGACCGGGTCCTCCAGCGGGTTCTCGATTTCGGCCTGCCGCAGGAAGACGTTCCCTCGGCACACGCGCCACAGCATGCGCTCAAACGTGGGGAGCCGCTCGCGGTTGATCACCCCGGCCACAAACCTGGAGAGGCACAGCGTGAGCCCTGCGCCCACAGCACCGACACCAGCTGGAGCTCGGCAGCGTGGGGAAAGCTACCAAATCTCGTCTCGAAAGCCGTTCTTCATGCATCGTGGGAAGTCCTCTGCATACGCAGAGATGGAACAAAAACAGCAGCACGACACCAAGCTCTGAGACTTAACAGAATTGTCCATTAAAAAAATTACTGACTAGAAGAGGACACAAATGCCTTTAGGCATACAGTTTCTAAGCCCACTGCTGCTCATTTCGTCAGGCTCCTGGCACGTCACATGTGAAGGATTAGAGAGGTCAGCGTTAGCACTGACTGTGTTCTAGGCATGAGCTTCAGAAGACCCCACTGACTCAAATCCCCGTGCCCACACAGAGTCACACAGGTCTGCAAACAGCCCGGAAGCAGCTTCCTCCCAGGGCATGGATCTGTGGGTCCCTTCACCCCCTTGTCATGGAAACTAGCTAATAAACCTAACTGTGACAAAGATAAAGAACCACCGTTTTTTCATGCTAGTACATGCTCACAGTTACTGGTTTCAACAAAGCTGTGAGAGCTCAGTGTCTGAAAAAGCAAACAGAACAATTTACAAGGAATAGACTAGTACAGTTCCTCATGTAGAAGTTCACGTATGCAGGACAAGAGCACAGACCGGCAGTCAGCTTTAGGTCAGCCTTCATCTGCTTTAAGCACAGTCTAAATCCTGCAACAACAGTGCTCAAATCACTGCAGACTCTGCAGGATGACCAAAAGGCAGCTGCGTTAACACAAGACAGAAGACAGCACAAATTGCCATTACCCAAGCCGCAGGGGGGCACCTCTTCCCATCTCACTTGGCTCCAGGAGTGACGAGGATTCCTCCAACAGGTCTGGATCCGCCATCTGCTGATGATGCAATTCAGCCTGAATTCACAAATCAATTAACATCTAATGAAACTAGTTAGTGGCATGCAGGGAACGAGGAACCAGGAGATAGTTTGGGGAGACAAAAGTCAGAACAAAACAGCAGAAGAAGGAGACAGGTGATAGACAAGACAGCAAGAATCACACAAGGAGGAAAACAACAAGAGGAAAAGATGGAATGGCAAAGCAAAGCTCCTGAACAAGAAAGGTCTGAAGGCTGCTGCAACAGAATAAACAGGCTGTGGGTTATATAAGTCTGAAGAAAGGTAGAATACCAAGAATCTTTTGCTTTAAATACAAGTTATGTTCCCAAGAACCTTTGTTGTTTTTTTTTTTTTACTCATCTTTTCTGACATCTCAAAATGGAGAGAAAAAAAAAGTAGATGCTGATTCACTCTTGCCTTGTTTGAGCATTTTCTGCATATTAATAAAGATGCTGAAGGCACTCAGAGTGCCTGTGCAACTGCACACACAGCACTGGCACAGACAGAAGGTCGTGGTTCATCCGAGTCCGGCAGTTCATCTAACCTTGGGGCAGCTTTCCACTCTGCAGTGCAGTCCTACAACCACGGTGCAAGATGCACGTGCCCTGCCCATGTCTGCCTTCTGCCACGTCTCACACACAAGCCAATTCCCTTTCATCTTGGAACCAGGCGACAACCTTTCGATGGATTCCATGTTTCTCGTCACACCGCCGTGATGCAGATCTTGTTGCTGATTCTGACTGCAAGTGCCAGGTAACAATTGTTCCTTACTGGCTGTAAAAAATCCTCCCTCAGTTCTTGCACCTTAAAAGCATGCTTAGTGCTTAAATCCATTTATTCTTCAAGATATTTACCCCATTCACTGCATTTATTATCCTAGACAAGTGAGATGTATTGCTTAAGGCAGTCTGAGGATGCTTTCAATTCCTGACCAGTGGGCATTAAAACAGGAAGCAGTTCACACAGTCCCTCACTGCAGGAAATTTGCAGAGTAGAATTCCTGGGAACGTAGCTTGTAAGAATCAGCAGTTTGAGTCAGGAAGGATGCTCAGACCACATCCTCCTGTGCACCACCTTCGTGTTTCATCCAGAGCCCCACAACACAGTGATTTCTACCTCTGCAGCTTATACAGAGAAATGGAGAAACGCACAGAGAGCCCAATTCTACCTTCTGTGAACAGCTCTTCCCCACCGCAGCGCAGGGGAGACTGCTACAAAACACCTGAAGGTAGAGTTTGAGAGCAGAACATGCAACACAGCCTTGCAAAAGCACACAGACAGTTTGTGAACACAGCACGCTGCCTTCATCTGTGCAACAGTCGCACGATAGCTTTAGTGGAAAACTCAGCAACGTTCTACTTGCCTCCCAAATGGAAGCACTGTGGGCAAGGAAAGCTTTTGTAAGGCTGACAAAATGCAGCTCAATGGCTTGTCCACGCATTTGCTTTAGCTTACAGACGTTACAAAAGTAGGGGAGCCCCTAATTTACTTTGGAAATGTAAAACGAAGCTCTGGTTCATTCATCTTTAACTCAACTTGTTGCAGCATCAAACAAACTCCATGAATATATTCACATTGTTTCCATAGAGGACACAACAAAAGTTTGGTACCCCAAAAGAAAACGTACACACTGAACATACCAGCAATCATTTGACATTAGGATCTCAGAACGTTGAAGAACAATGAGACAAAGTTAGGATTTCAAGAGGCTTGTATTGCATTTAACAGCCAGCAAGATGCTCTGATGATGCAGGGGAGGCAGTGCCAGTCTAGCTGAAGCACCACATTTCAGCACACAGAACAAAAAATATCAGCACGTGTGAAAACTTTGGATCCTCCTCATTTGGAGAGAGTTTGCACACATGTTTATCGCCACCTCTGACCCTCTTGGGGCTGCGCCCTTCCCGTGGGACAGCTCACAAAACAGAGGAGCCCTGCTCAGCAAAACTACCAAACAGCTTGTGGGAAAAAAAGATGGCTAGACTGGCTTCACTAAACAAGAATTTACATACAGAAGAATTTACTTGTATAAAAAAGAAAAAAACCAAATGTGTCACTTAAAGTTTTTCTCCCAAGTGCTTTAATTCGATGATCATGCTCTTTCTACAAAGAAAACGGTGCGGTAAGATCCGCTCCGTTCTGGAATTAAAGGTGTGTCAGTGTTAAAAGAGCTAACAAACAGAAAGTGGAGAGACCACAAGGAAATCAAAGGGCCATCAGCAATGATGCAGAAAGATGAAACTCCAGGAAATGTCCTTTGAGCAAGAGCTGCCTCCAGCAGTGAGCAAAACATCCAAGTCACTGTGAAGCCGTATTTATGTGTTTTTGTTGTTGCTGTGACATCAGGTCACACTCAGTTTGAAGTGTTCACCCTCATCAGCACCTTCAATCTCAAGGTATGAGGAAAGTTTAGTTTTCCACGCCCTCGATTCAGGTTCTGCTCTGTGCTGGCTCTGGATTGCTGCCCACAGCACCATGCAATTCAAGCCCCTTCCAGGTCACGATCCAAACAAAAATCAATTTTCACAAGGATGACAAGGGATTCATTTCACCACCTCGCTTATTAACCCAGAGCCCAGGCAGAAATGACAGATGCGAAACAAACAGAAGAGAAGCAGATGATGAGAGAGTTAGAGGGAAGAGAGACGGGGACTGCATGCCATTAACCATTACTTTTCCAGTCTTCTTTTACGCTCACACTTTAGGATGCTTATGGCAAAACTTTCAGAGAAATCTCTCCAGCCCAGACTGTTCTTTATAAGCAAAAACAAGAAGACTAAGAAAAGGAGCATAATCATCAACACAGCGTTGAAACAAGAAATGGCTCTGCTAACAAGAACGGTCATAGCAAGAACTGAAAGAGCTTCACAACCTCCCACCCCCATTGCAGAAACTCCTGACAGCAAATGCCAAATACAAAAGACTAAGTAGCAAGCCATTTCTTGTGCAACTTATTACTATGAATAGCACAATCTTGATTACAACTCATTGAAGTCTTCCAGTGTTGAAGGTACCATACAAATGACAGCATGACAAAGTAAAGCACTCAGTGTTTGAGGACACCTAGGACTGCACAATGCCCAGAAGGCCTGGGCTAGCCAGGACCTCACGCACAGCTTTCTGATCACAGTGTGAAGAGAAATAGTCAAAGTTTCAACAACTTCAGTGGATTTCACACATGGACTGCTCAGTTTGCTTCTATCTGCAGCAGTACGTGACGTTTTATTATTGCAGAATACAGTCACCAAGCAGGAGGATAAACATCTAAACCTTCACTGCCCAGTTCACGGAGGTCTGACACAAGGACTCCTTATGCAAGGTCTGACAGATTTTTCAGTAGGAAATTAATTTTAGTATGTTCACACTGTCCTTGAAGAAAGGCAGTAGGCAGCTCTCGCTAGATGAGTGCAATTAATGCAAGTGCAAGAGGCTTTACTCAATATTCAGTTAGAACAGGAGAGCCAATCAGCATCTGAATGCAGCTATGTAACAGATTACCAAGTTCATGCTGGTCATCCACAGAGACTCTCAGCAACTTCCAGGTGGGCTTTCAACACTCGAAGACGAGTCTTTAAGCTCTGAACAAACCCCACGAGCAACCAACAGATCACACGGGCAGCATCTACACCAGCAGCAAGGAAGGCCTGTTTTGGCACAGGAATAATCTTACTGCCTGAACAGGCACCATCCTGAGCCAAGAAAAAACCGTTAGGTAAACGGCCTGAAGTTTGCAGAAGCCCAGCTCCTCTTGATCACAGCCTTTGTGAACACCAGGAGCCACATCCAATAAGCCCTCTTTGATCAAATCGCTGATCAGAGGAGACTGGAGACATTCTCAGCAAAAACCGTCTTTACTACTCAACAGCCACACAGGAGCTCTTTGAGAAAACTGCCTGGGTTTTGAGATACTGATGCTTTAAGATGAAGGACAGGTTTTCTGTTATTCAGGCTTTAGGCCAATACACACAAGTGACACCAGAGATGTACGTCCCTCTCTGACCTGGCTCTCATTTGACAAAACGTTACTGATTTTAAGTGCTCTTTTCCTCCAGAACTCACCTCTAAAAGTTTTGGGGGCTTGATCAAAGGTTCAACACGTTAAAAACAAATCCATTAACTTCAGTGAACTTTGTCTTACGACTTAATGAACAATCTCCATACAACATTTCAAACACTGAAGTTTGATTTTAATACCTCTGTGTAACTGAGGCATGACTGCTTATCTGTACACATCACGAAGAAACTCTTGCTCACTGTACCTGCAAATTTCCATCCTGTCAACATGCTTTCAGAACTACTGGTACTTTATTTTGCATATTTTTAGTGAAACCATTAAGTTAAAAAAAATTAAAGAGGTAAATCATGGGTGGCTATGCATAGTGCATGAGAAACAGAAAATAACTGAGAAGCTTTCCTAGATAAAGCAGGAAGATGGATCTGCTGCCCAAAACAACTGAAAACATTTGAGAATACAAATGGCAGTTTGGGGGACAAGAACCTGCTGCCCGAGTGCCGACCCACCCCCGGTGCTCTGACCTCATCAAAAAACTGCTGAGTTTTACGCAGTATAAATTTTAACTCTGTCAGCTCCAAGAAGTTTCTTTTCAGAGCTTCCTGATTTGTGTTGATTTCTTTAAGCTCATTTTCAATTTTCTCAAAGTTCGCCTGCAAGAAAGAAGAGGGAAAAAAAAAAAGTGCCTTAAAGCAATTGAATAAATAAGTGCTATTAAATCTATTAAAACAACACAGGCTGCTTTATGCTCCCGTGAGATTCGCATACAATGGTGGAGGCTGCACACAAACTATTTGTGACATTTTCTTCGGGCTGCTTGAAACACTTCAGACTCAGGCAGTCTCCACTACAGGTAGGACTCGCAGCATTCTTCACATCACCACAAGCCCTTAAAAGCTCAGCTCTGACCCAGTCACTATAAATCGTGCTGCCGAACAGTTTTCCAGGAATTTCACTTCTTTAAGTGAGTCAAAGCACTGCCTTTCACTTTTAGCCATATCTGCATAAATGTGAAAGCAAAACAGTGTTGGTGAATTAAAATCAAACTGATGATGAGGACGCGTTTCAAGTGAGTGGGGCCCATGGCTAATGAGTCTCTACCATTAAATACAACAGATGTCTGCCCATGGAGCTGATGCCACATGCTTTCACCGAGGTCAAACACTACTTAAGACACATTATTACCTCCAAATCAATCATGTCACGTGGAAATGGCACCTCTGGATTCTCACCCGTGTCCATGATAGGAATATTTGCTTTTTTGATCTCCTTTTCAACAAATCCTGAAAAGACAGTACCATCAACATTAGCTGAAAAGACACCTTAATGTCAAGTTATCACTCCTTTAACCCACACCCATCAGCTGATCTGCAAGTCCTTTCACCTACAAGATGGTGCAATCGGATTATTTTTCAACCAGGAAATGAATCCTTGGATGCAGCCTGACTGGCTGACATACAGAAGAAAGGCAGCTTTCAGTTCTCCAAACTGCACTTTGCCTTTTAATGCTGTTCTAGGCTTACACTACGTTACTCGTTTCCCCATAAATGCTGCAGCACCGGGACGCAGCGAGGGACGTACGGAGCTTTCGGTCCATTTCTTCACACCTCCTGACTTCATTAACGAATTTCCGCTGGAACACATTCACGTCCGGGTTCAGCTGCCGAGAGAAAAACGTTTCCTCGACACCACCCTTATGTCAGGGACCCCCAGAGATGGGAGCGGGGGGGCAACGAGGGGGCAGGCGGGGAGCAGCGGGCCGCTCCCGTGGCCCGGCCGGTTCTCCTGCCTCCGCCGTTACTCACATCGCGGAACTGCACCTTCCCCAGCTCGCCCAGCTCGCTGACACAGCAATACGCGGCCTCGGACTGCAGGAAAAGCTGGGCCAAGGTCATCTCCTCGCTGCGGAACAGCTCCCCCATGGCGGCGCCCACCGCGGCCTCTGACGAAGAAGAGGCGATAAAAGCACGGGAGGGGCCGGCCAGCCGGGCGGGCCACCCCGCCGCCCCCTCACGGCGCCCTTCGAACTCGCACGGGGTTGGAAGCGAAGCCTCAGCCCCGTCGGACAGAAGCCCCGCGGGGCCGCACGGGCCCGGTTCCGCCCGGTGTCGCCGCCTTACCTGCCGGCACCACCCGCACCGCCTCGGCCACCGGCTGACCGGCAGCGACGCCCGGCTCTGACGTCACTACGCACGTCTCCTAGAGACGGCGCGACTCGCCGGGCCGCACCGGAAGTGACAACGCGGGAGGACCGGAAGCCGCGCGTTCTGCCGCACTGCGGCCCTTCTGACGTCACTGTGCGCTGTGCGACGGGCGATGACGTCACGTCCGGCGTGGCCGAGGTGTGAAGGCGCGGCCGGGCCTGACGCGCGGGAAGCGGCCGCGCGGAGCAGCTGGGGCCGGGGCGCTGCAGCCACGGCCTGATGGCAGCCGCTGCGGGGCGGCACCCGGCTGAGGGCGGGGTTCCCTGCGGGGCTGGGCCGCTCCCTGCCGCAGCCCCGCCTGCCGCTCCGCGCCCTGCCGGCCCGTGCCCGACTCATTGTCCGCAGCGCCGCCGTCTTACTGCAGAGCTGCGCTGCCGAACGTGCTGCTCGCAGAACTGAGCAGAAAGCAGCGCGGCGCCCGTGCTGTGCTTCACCTTCTTGTTCAACTCCACACTTCTGACTGTTTGCTTTGAAGCTGAACGATGCTTCTGTTTGCACTGTCCCTGCCTACAGGGAGATCCAAAGGTCAAACTCGATCTACCGCTCAATAACAGCTCCGAGAAGCTGTTCGTGCTGCAAGAGATAGAGAGGAATCCACTGCCCTTAGGTGTCCAAATCAGAGGGAAGGCTGCAGTTTGCCACCTATTGGCTTTCCCTGGTATGCCTCTGCTGCGGAAAATGGCTGTAAGGAAGCGAGTCTTAACATAGAATCTTACTCACTGCATTTCAGCTTGGGGTGTGACTGCTGTGTGTGCAGCAAGCCCAGAATGTGACACTAAATGTGCTCTGCTGGGTATCGAGACTGAAACCAAGTTCCTGTTCTGTTGGTTTATGTTGCTCTATCTCGATTTATGTAATCAGTTTGGTGTTGTTGCTTTTGTTCCCAAATGGGGAACCTAAGGCTCAGGAATTGCAATAAAGTCACAGGAGGAACTATAAAGAGAGCGCTGGTCTGCATCCTGCTCTGAACATAAAATTTCACAGAAAATTGTTGTGGGAATCCACTCTGAGGAGATCTCCCCAGTGACAAACAACTGCAGAGCTTTGTTTCTGCCTGGCAGGAGGGAGGGATTTTTACATGGAACTGACTCATCAGCACCAAACACTGGAAATAAATGCTCAGGAAAAAGGTCCCTCCAGGAAAAAAACAGGGTGTAGAAAAGCAAGCTATTTTTAATACATGACATAATACCTATAGTGGAAGCTGCACAACACAACTTTCTGAAACCAAATCCAGATCAATGGTGTGCTGTGGGTAAACAGCATTGAAAAGCAAGCTGTCACATGGCAGAGAACACGGGGGCACAGAAAGTGCTAACTGCAGCAAGTAGTCCTCATTAAACAATGATCCTATACATCTGTTGTGTGTAGTGGATTTCCCAGCTTGTATGCTAGGAATTAAGGATTTCTTCCAGTACTGGCTTGAGGTATGAATCTGGATAAACCAAACTTTGTAGGGCCTTTATTTTATTTGCCTGCCAGGGGCAAATGTCAAGAGTGGGCTTGACCCCAACCCGAGGCAGGATGTGCTGAGCATGGGTTGCTGTCATCAAGGTACAGGGCAAGAGGGAACCTGCAGCCTTCCCAGTCTGCTCACAGCCCTCCAGCTGAACCTGGAAGGGTTTCAGCTGCCCACACCAGCAGAGGCTTCACAGCAGTGATTTCCTCTGGCTGAGCCACCAACAGTACAAGTAGAGAGATCCCATCCAGGGACACTTCCAGGATAGAAATTTTCCTTCATCGTGTTCCTCTCCTTGGTCGTACCAGGTTGTTGCAGACACTTTGGGAGCACGTCACGAGCGTCTTCTAAGGCAATAAGCTGATGGTGGTATCACAAGCCATAAACTTCTGCCAACGCTGTAAGACTCCATGACTTGCCTTGTGCCAAAATCAAGGTTAAAGTTAGCAAAATAGGATGATTTTCTCCCCTCATTTTCAAAGCTTTATGTACTGTATTAATTTCTGAACTGATCAGGTGATTGGTTTGTTTGCTTGTTTTACCAGTGATGCCCAATGTAGCGCAGAGTATTTGAGTATTCCTTAGAAGTACATTTCTGCATGGCGTACGTGGAAGCATGTCCTGCATTGAAGCCTGGTGGTGGGATTTGTTGGTGAGCAGAGGATTGCAGAGCAGAGACAGCTGCTTTTAGGTAGGAGTGGCCGTCAGCTTCACTTCAGGGATGAATTACACTTATTTCTTTTATGTAAAATCCCGTATAGCATTGTGGCACTCACTGTACACATCGTGCACATTCCTGCTGTGCGTATTCAGACACATGGAGGCATGTGATTTTGTGATCCAGAGTTTATTTTTTGTAACTACTCTGAATTTCAGCTGCTTTTTAAAAGTACTGAAAACCAAGCTCTCAAAGTACTGGAAAAAAATGCCAACAGTTGGCAAAAGATCTGAATTTTCCAGCTGAACTTGAACGTGTGCAATTGTTTAAGCTCTGATGTACACAGCTGCAATGTTTCTTTCCAGCCGCTTCCTGCGCCGATGTTTTGTTTTTTCCTCTCATCGCACGTAATGCCTTTAGACTTATGGTAAAGGAGAGGCTGCCGGAGTTTCAGAGCTTTGCATTCCCTGCTGAGCTGTGCCTGTGTTTGCATGCAAAGCCATCGCCAGCCCTCCAACTATTTTAATCATTTCAAAGAGGGTGGGTCATCAGGCATTTGGCAGCGGGCTCCTTTTATATAGCTGAGGTGGAGTCAGCCAATGACCTGCAAGCCTGGAAAATTTCGCAGGGCAGTTTCAGCGGACAGCTCTGCAGAGCTGTGCCATTTGAATTTCAGCACAGACATCCACGCACTGCACTCTCCATTTCTGGTGTGTCTCCCAGCGCAGAGTTTAGCTGAGGCTCGGGTTCAGCTTTCCCTGCTCTCCCTGCAGCGGCAGTTTCTCTGGGCTCTCCTAGCCAGGACTCCCCGGCCATCATGGAGGATACTACTTTGCAAATTATCGAACCACCAACTGCTTCTGAGGCCTCCGAGGAGCAAATGCCCGAAGAGCCCATCAAGTCAGACCAGATCAACGGCGTGATGGTGCTGACCCTTCTGGACAAGATCATCGGAGCAGTAGATCAGATTCAGCTGACCCAAACACAGCTGGAGGAAAGACAGCAAGAGATGGATAGTGCAGTGGTCAGCATCCAGGGAGAGTTAACCAAGCTGACCAAAGCTCACACCACCACCAGTAACACCGTGAACAAAATGCTGGAAAAAGTGCGCAAGGTGAGCGTCAACGTGAAGAGCGTCCGGCAGAACCTGGAGAAGCAGGCTGGGCAGATCAAGAAGCTGGAGGCCAACGAAGCGGAGCTCCTGAAGCGCAGGAATTTCAAAGTCATGATCTACCAGGTAAGGAGCAGAATTCCACCCTTGCTGGTGGCTGTTCTCATTCCCGCTGGCTCTGACTCGCTGCACGGTCCGTTCCTCACCCAAGCTCCCCTGCCTGGCCGGTGTTCCACGTGAACGTGGGTCTGGAGTTGCTCTCATTCATGTTTTAATGTCTCTAGTTTTTAATTACATGTTTTTTATTTTTAATTACATGTTTTAATGTGCTCTAAGGTAGAGTTGCTACTTTTTTAACAGGAGCTTTAATGAAGATAGCGCGAATGCCCCAGAGCGATTATTGTGAAGGACCGAAGTGTTACAATAACCCGATGTACTGTGAACTGAAAAAGGGGCAGGAATGCTCGGTGTTATGGGGGGGAAGGGGGGGGGTAAATCCACCTGCTGACTTCTTTTGTAGTCGGAGAGCAATAATGTTTCCTCTGTGACACGCATCTTACGGCCGGGCGCAGTGAGCATCGGGGCTGATCTCACTGGTGGGACAGACACACAGTGGGGGAAACAGCAAACAGGTCTTTGAGGTCAGAAATCCTTTGCCTTCGTGCCTGCATGTATTTCCACATTCTTTTTATGTGAGCTGCGCATCCTGAGTCTCCTAGTTGTCTGATTACAGTAACAGCTTTGGTTTGCTTGGTGTTCATAGCTTGTGTCGAGGGGTGGATTTTTCCTTTAATCTTAAGGAAGAGAAGAAAAAGGAATATATTTATCTCTCTTTTCCTGTCTGGAGTCACTCCTCTTTATCAGAGCAAACTCTTGTGCTGGGCCATGGAAAAAAAGTGAGTGAAATAGTTAATGATTCCGTTAGGAGCTTCAGGGTTGATAACACTGTCAGGGACAAATAGAGAAATGTCCACTGCTGACCACAGAGAGAAGAAAACCAGAACAAAATGGGAAACAATTCTTACTACAGTGTCTGAAGGGAGAGCTGATGATAATGAGCTCAGGAATCTGGCAAGTGCTGGGGCCTCTGCAACTCTGATTCACAGCATAAGCATCTGTACTTTTATCGTGCATGAAGGACTGAAATACGTGAGCATACTCAGACCCCACAGGCAATCTGAGCAGTTCTGTGTCTCTATTTATCGCACGCTCTTTAAGTAAGGCTTTTGGAGGACAGACCTACCTATGGAAAGGGAGAATGGAACCTGGAGGTACAGCAGAGGCAACAAACGGTGCAAAATGAGAAGAGCCAAGGAAATTGTTTTACGAAACATTCCGTGTGGGTTATGGAAATAGGTAGGAAGTTGGCAAACTGCTGAGTCCAGGGGAAGCATCCAAAATATTTGCAGCTTGTCATTTTCTGGGCTGCTCCTTTCTGTTCATTGCTGCTCATGAGTATGGAGTAAAATTTTTCTTTGAATTTAAAAAAAACAATTTTGCTTCTGAATGGCATCAGGGCAAAAGTAACAGAGACGCAATGAGGCTGGGACAACTGCACCCGAAAACAAACTCCATTATGGGTTTGTGATGTGTGAATACCAGGAAGAAATGATTGTGTTAAGGTTAATGTGGTAACAACAGCTGTCGCACTGCTGTGCTGCGTTGCTGCGCAAGGATGGATCCATGCAGTGAGGATGGTGCTGGCAAGCCTCGGAGCACAAGGAATGCGCTCAGAGCAGCAGTGTAACCAGCCCTCCCTGCAT